GTTGCCATGTTAGTATGCAAGCAGTCCTGAATAATAAGGAAGCAGATGGATGTGTTTTTTTTTTTAAGTCAGAAAAACTTCCCTTACCCAAACCAACTGGAGGCTGACTGCCATATGAATGCAATGTGTAAACCTCTGTCACTAAAATATCCCACCCAAATTTCAGTCTCAGTTATTTCAGAAGATCTAGCAGAAGGGTCCAAGAAGACCTTGTGAGAGACAGAATCTGGTTCCCTTGAGTCAAGGCTGCAAAGGGCTGCCTGGCCCACGTTGTATTTGGATGAAAGCAAGAGACATCCAGAGATTTGGGAATTGTTTGCTACAGCATCTTGTACTTGTTTCATAATTTCTGCCAACTTTTGAAAATGAGGGCCGGAGACAAAGATGCTGAAGCTGATTACAAGGCAAGAAATAGTAAGTAAGATGACTGACAGCCCTCCTGAACTGCTACTTCCTTGGTTTTAGCACTGTGTTCATGTTCTCAGCAAACAGGCACCATCAGATTACTCAGCCAGAACTGCAATACAGGTTTCCCAAAACTCACCCATACAGACCTGCTCAGACTGCTTCTTCAGAAGTTACGTAAGACCTAGGTTAGCTCCATCTGACCCCTACTAGGAGTCTACACACCCTGCTTTACCCCTGGGATGTGACCTAGAAGGTGAGGCTCCTCCTCCCCAAAGGCATTAAGACAGGTGTGAATATTTTTGATGTTCTATTTATCAGCCAGGTGGGGTGGTTACACATGCCATGCCACGCCATGTGTGCAGAGGTCAAGGAATAACTTTGTGAAGTTGGTTCTCTACTTCCAACCTTTATATGGTTTTGAACTCATATCTCTAGGCTTGTGTGGCAAATGCCTTTACGCACTAAGCCATCTTTCTGGTCCCCACCCCCATCCCCTGATGTGGATTTTTAACATATACCAGTTTCAGTGTAGAAGTCAGCCCTGACAGCTATAAAATGGCACTAAATCCTCCTTTTATGAGCTCTTGCCACATTCAGCTGAGTGTTTTATCATAGTGGCTGGAAGTGTACTGAAGGGAGTTAATAAGGCAGCTGCACTGGGCCTGCCTACCCCAGGACTGAGAAGAAAAACCCTAAGCTAACTTCCCCACATGCAACTCTACCAGTCCTGCCCCTCAGCTCACGACCCATTCCTTTGAAGTAGCAGTGCCCCAGCCCACAAGAAATGGTCAGTGGTTCATTCAGACAGTTCATCCTTTGACCCAAAACCCAAAGGTTAAAGAAAAACTGATTGGATCAGAAATGAAGGAGGGTGTCCCAGAGAAAGGGCAACGCAGCTCGGATTAGAGGTGGAGACAGGTGGGTCTCTAGAAGCTCTGGGCTAGCCTGGCCTACCTTGAGAACTTCCAGGCCAATGAGAGACCTTGTCTCAAGCAAAAGGTGGAAGGTGCCTCAAGACTGATGACATGTGAAATTATCCCCTGACTTCCATAAGTGTGCTATGTACACACATAGGGACACATGCTTCAAACACACAAGTACATATTACACAAAAATGTTAAAGAAAAAGCCCAACCCCTCCATCACTTTGTGATGCGATCTATTCCTCCTCACACACATGGTCCTGGTTCAATGCCATGAGGTCCTCACCAGAGCCAAGACGATTCTGGCACCATCCTGTCAATCTACAGAACTGAGAGCTAAGCAAAACTCTTTACTTTAGAAAGTTACCATGCCCCCAATGATAGTAGAAAAAAGCAGCTAATGTAGACCCTGAAGCAGCACAGAGAGGAGGGATAAACATTCATTCAGGTGCTAAGAAAGAGGGACAGCACATCACAGAGCTCAGGGGCATCCGATACTACAGAGGCACTAAAAAGACAAAGGTGTCCCTTGGCTTTGATGACATTGAAGTCACAGAAATTCATGTAAAATCTACTATAGGTCAGACTGCATCAAACACCAGGGAAGTAAAAGTATACTAACACACAAGAGCATGAAGCATCAAGGAAAGGACAGAGAAATATACAAACAACACAGTGGCTAGAGGAGCCCAGGAGAAAACATCAAGGGAAGTTCTTGACCTTGGAGACAAGGGGACTTCTCAGGGGAGGCAGTAACAGGAATTTATTAGGACAGATGCAGAAACAAAAGAAACAGCACGGACAAAAGGATTGGAGTGATAGACTTCAGGAATACAAGAGAGTCTCTGGCTCCAGGAAATCTGAAGAGATGAGACTGAGGTAAGAGGGCAGAGGGCAAGAGGTAAAAGACCTTCCAGGCTATGTAGGAGTTTCAGTTCACTCCAAGGCAAAAATAGCCACTGACTTAACTGAGACACTAACCTGGTGAGTGGTCTTGGAAAATATCTCCCATAGGCCTCAGTTTTACCCTTTGAAGTTAAAAGCTAAGATGCAACTTCCCCATTCTTATAACCCAAGGCTCTTGTAGCTACATAAGAAATGGTTCATTTGGAGATGGGGTGGAGTGGAGTCAATAAAGTGCTTGCCTAGCATGCAGGGGACTCTGGGTTTCATCCCCAACACTTCATAAGCCAGATGTGGTACATGGTGTAATCCTAGCATTGATGAGTTAGAAGCAGGAGAATTGAAGTTCAAGTCCATCCTCAACTACATAGTAAATTAGAAGTCAATATGAGCTAAATGAGACCCTGTCTCAAGGAAGAAAATCAAAACTCTCAAATAATGTAGCTTTGGTTCATTTGAGAGAGCAGCTTGTTTAATACGAATGAACAGCCTTAGTCAGTTCTGATTTTTTGGAGCTGTCATTTGGCTTGAGATTTTGCAAAAAGCTAAAGGATCCTCAGGGTCTAACCATGCCACCAGCATATATAGGAAGCTTGTTCCCAATTCTCCAGTGAGGATGAGAATGGAGGACTCCATTGTGGCCCAGAGGAAGGGCTGACATTTGGTGAGATGTCTGTATTTAACTCCCACTGCTTGACATCTGTTTCCAATTAATTTGCCTGTGTTAAGAGGGATGCTTCCCCAAGCCCTTGATCCCAGCTCAGTTCTCCAGAGAGAGGAAGCCACAGAGGGCTAAGTCGAGCCTGGTTCCCCTCTCCATAGCTCCACTCCCCTACTCCCAGGGGCTCTTTTGATATCCAGGAGCACCTGGCCTGAGAGGTACCCCAACACCTGTCCCACACTATCCTTTGCAGCCATGCTTCTGCAGCATCAGGGACATGTTTGAAAAATGAAGACAAGCCCATATCCAAAGTTACTGGACAAACTGAATATAGGGAGAGAAGCCTGAGGGGGGTGGGAGAAGCAGGCAAGCAGGAGCCAGACTGGGCAAGAACCTGGAACCCCAAGCTAGCTACTTGTATGTAGGCAAGGATGACCTTGAACTCCTAATCCTCCCAAGTGCTGGAATTACAGGTCTGTAATTCTCCAGGTGCTGAGGATAGACGCCAGGGCTTGTTGCATTCTAGGCAGCTACGTCCTCAGCCCCAACTTCCTGTTTCAACCCTAGGACTGTGGACATGTCATGATCCATTTACATATTCTCCTCCCTCCCTTCTCCCTCTGTCTCTCTGTTGCCTATGTGTGTGTCTGTCTCTGTCTGTCTCTCTGCCCCCCCCCTCTGGTTACAGAGAAGACGTGTACAGGGGCAGGAATGGGAAAGGGAATCATTTTGAACTGCGCTTTCAGGCATAGCTTTCCGAGCCACACTTAGAAATGTAGTTAGTGAAACCAAGACAGCAAACATCCTCTGCATTTTCAATTGATTGCACTCACACTCAAACACTACTTGATTCAGCTATTTGAACTTTCAGTAAGTTTAGAATAACTTAGGGATGTGATTCCAACTGTCAAGTTTATAAAACCTAAATACAAATCAAGTGTTTAGGATGAAGATTTTGCCACCCCATTGAAATTATAAAATAAGTGTAAAATGTGTGCTGCATTTGGAAGATCTACACACTACATATTCACCCTCCCACACACACACACCACCTCAAATATACATACACATACCACATACACACACATCACCTACACACACACACACACACACATCTTTTAGAGAATAATGTAAAGTATCTCAATACTGTTTTATACTAATTATGTTAATATGTCAGTAGTTTGAAGTAATGAGTTGACTAAAATAGAGTATTAAAATTATGGGGCTGGGCCGGGCAGTGGTGGCGCACACCTTTAATCCCAGCACTCGGGAGGCAGAGGCAGGCAGATCTCTGTGAGTTCGAGGCCGGGCTGGACCGACAGCCTCCAAAACAATACAGAGAAACCCTGTCTCGTAAAACCAAAAAAAAAAAATTATGGGGCTGGGAGATGCCTCAGTCAGTAAAATGTGGTCTCCCAAGCATAAGGACCTGTGGTTGAAATGAAAACCAGGCATCATGACATGCTCTTGGAATCCTAATGGTGGGAAGCAGAGACAGGTGGATCTCTGGGACTCACTGGCCAACCAACCTAGCCTGTTTGGTGAGTTCCAGGCCAATGAGAGACCACTCAAAAAGAGTGGACAACACCTGACATCACCTTGGGTGAGTGGACACCAGAGATTGTCCTCTAGTCTCTCTATGCACATACACACACACACACACCATACCACATCCGTACATGTGCACATCATATACACACATCTCACACATACATACACACACATCACCTACATACACACTATATACACATACACCACCACATACACACCATGTATACACACCATACACACATATACATATATACATATCACCACATATACATCACCTATACATACATATATATACACATACAGAAACTACACACACATACTACATACACTTGCATACACATGCCACACACACATTTACATATTCAGAAACTATAAAACACATACCACACACACACACACATATACCAGTACATACCTGCCACCTACATACTATACACACACTACACACACATATCCCACATATACACACCACACACATATTCATACATATATGCCACCCCATGCGTGTGTGCGCGCACAGACACACACCCCTCATATACACAAATTACAGTTACCTATTTTGTTTTGTTTTGCTTTTTCAGTGCAGTGCCAAGAAAATGTTGACATTTTCATGGGTGGGATGTGTTATATTTCCATGGGACAGCTCAGCTGGACGGAAAGATGATGCTTCGACAAGGACAGCAGTGGTAAATACAAAGGTAGCAGATGCCATACGTGAGGTACATTTTGGAGATGCTTTGGAGGCGGCCTTGGCAGACCTTGCTGACAGACTGGCTGTGGGGAATTCATAAAGAGAAGGAAAATCACAGGAGTCTGGGTTCCGGCTTTGGACTCGGTTCTGACCTGAGCCCTTGAACAGATGTCGGAGCCATGTCCATGAACAGGGAAAACTTGGGGAAAGTAAACATCAACAAGAGAACTCTGGCTTCCTTTGGGATGTGCCAAATTTGAGATGCCTTCGAGATGTCAAGCAGGCAATTAAATGTGCAGGGCTTGTATACAAAAGCAAAGTTGATGGCAGAGATCTCAACATGGAAGCAAGCTCTGAAAAAAAAAATCAGAAGCCTCCCCTAGGTATGCGCCTCCTCCTGATGGAAGGACAGTCATATTAATGTCACCCCAACTCTTCCAGTCAGAGCAAAACCTGACTAATCAAACAGTCCCTTGTTTCCTCACTCTCTTCTGTGTATCACCCTTCTTCATCAGCCTTTTCCTCCTCCAGAAGAGACCTTTACTTGGTTCCCCACACGCCCACAAACTCACCAGGCCAAGTAGTGTGGCGAAGGCACCAGGAACAAGCAAGCCTCACAACAAGCTGCGGGTCAGGATGTTTGCACAGACGCCTCCTGGCATCATTTATCTTGAGGGATGTCAACTCGAAAAATGTTAGTTCATGTCACTGTCAGGGTAAATGCCAAAAATTAGCTTTCTTTCATCAGAAAACGGAATAATTAACTTTGCAACTGTTTCCAAAACTGCTAATTAATGGATTTTAGTCACTTGATTTGTCAGGCTGCATGGCGAGCTGAGCGGCAGCCTCGGCCCCAGGAGGATTCCAGTCCTCCCGCCCTCACTCCTGGCAGAACTTGGGAGAAGTTTCAAGTGAACACACTGGGAGAGGAGGCCCCAGAAATCACCACTGGATTGGAACATCAAAATCAGTCTTCCACCACCTACCTTCCCCATATCGCTGTCCCAGGTACTCTCAACATTGTGGCACTCAAGCTACTATCTACATGTCCCCAAACTTGAAGGGCAGATTAGATTCTAGTCTCTCTCTCTCTCTCTCTCTCTCTCTCTCTCTCTCTCTCTCTCTCCCTCTCTTCGTCCCTCCCTCCCTCCCTCCCTCTCTCTCTCTGTCTCTGTCTCTCTCCCTCCGTCCCTCCTCCCCCCTCTCTCTCCCTCCATCCCTCCCTCTCTCTCTCTCTCTCTCTCTCTCTCTCTCTCTCTCTCTCTCTCTCTCTCTCTCTTTTCTCTCTCACCCAAGATGAGAGGTCCTTAGAGAGTTCTTGGAAAAGAAGGGGGCATTGAAGGCCAGCAAGACACTTGCCTCTTACAACCTCAGTTTTTTGGTCTATAAAATGGGTACTTGTAGCTGGAGAGAAGGCTCAGCAGTTAAGAAAACTTGTTGCTTTTTTTCAGAGGACCCATGGCCCAGAACGGGCAGCTCATAAGCACCTGGAACTCTGTTGGGGAAGTCTTATGCTAATAAAGCACTGTCTGGCCAATAGGAATCTAGATAGGTGGGGCTAGGAATCAAGGAGGATTCTGGGTAGGAGAAACACAGGAGAGTCAACATGTAACCGCCATGGGGGTAGGAGCCCAGAACTATTCTCCGGTAAGAGACATACTTAGATTAACAATTATGGGGTAATTACTTAAAGCAGAGCTAGCCAGTAAGAGACAAGCAAGGCCAACAGCTTCATAATGAATATAGCCTCCTGTGTGTTTATTTGGGACTGATGCGGATCTAGAACCAGGCTGGCACGGCAGAGCCCAGGCGACTGGCAGGGGATAAACCAAAGCGGCTAGCAAAAGGAAAAGCTGCCCTTAACAGAACTCCAGTTCAGGAGATCCAGTGCCCTCTTCCGGCCTCCACAGGCACCCACATGTGTGCGCGCACACACACACAATACACACACATACAATACACACACATATACGCACACACAATATATATATACACAAATAAAATAAATAAAATGTTTATTTTTACAAAAATAAAGAATTACCATGTGGATTCTGTGGTAGAACTACATGCCAAATTTGCCAAAAGCTTACAGGAGAGCCCTCAAGCCTTGGGTATAGTGGTCAACTACAGCAAATCCTCAACCAACATGGCTACTATCTCTCTTCTTACTCCGTCTCCTCTGTCTACACTACATCCGCCTGGGTCAGACTCCTTCTCAGACACACAGCACACAGTCATAACTCCCCTGGGAACCAGTTTTGAATCCATTTCAATTATCAGAGAAATTGTCACACTGAAAATCTGAGCAAGCACAAAACTGGAATGTTAGTCCCCATTCAAATGGCACCATCCTGGCTAACAGAGCTGTGCATTTGTGGCTAGTGATGGGTTAACAGAAAAGGTATATATCTAAAGACACTCGGGTAGGACCAAGGCTGGAGTACATTTTTCCCTCCAAAGTTCTCCTTGGGGCCAAGCTGTAGCTTAAGTTAATTTCCTTCAGCCATTTTATCAGACTTTCTTAATTTCACTTCTGAGAATAGTCCTCAGAAAAAACATTGTCACAGCAGTCCCCCAGGAATGGTAGCAAATGGTTGTTGTCTTAAGCCGCTGGGTTTTGAGGTGTTCTGTTACATGCATTATAAGAAGATACAATTAGAATATATAAAATGTGGAATATTATCCAGACATTAAAAATGGTGGATGCTCAATATATTGACTCTAAAGCATGCCAACAAAGCAATTTTGATGAAAAAAAATGTTGATCAACAAAAAGTATGTTTAGCAACATTCTTTCTGTTAAAGCAAACAAATCCCTGCTCCTATCTGGATTTTTTACTAAAGAGAAATGGTTGTCTGGCTCTTAAGGTCTTCACAGTGTCCCTGTGTGCTAAGATGAAGGGCAGAGGGGGGATGTTGGGGGTTTGTGTGTGTGTGTGTGTGTGTGTGTGTGTGTGTGTGTGTGTGTGTGTGTGATTGTGTGATTGTGTGATGTGGTGTGTGTATGGGGATGTGGTGTGGGTGTGGTGTGGGTGTGTGTGGTGTTTGTGGTGTATGGTGTGTGTGTGATTGTGTGTGTGGTGTGGGTGTGGTGTGTGGTGTGGGTGTGGGTGGATGTGGCATGGGTGTGGTGTGTGTTTCTATATGGCGTTTGTGGTGTATGGTGTGTGTGTGTGTGTGTGTGTGTGTGTGTGTGTGTGTGTGTGTGGTTTAAGGAGCATGTTTTCACTTTGCTCTTGATCACAGAGGTTTCTACCCATCATGGCAAGGAGGCTGTGGTGAATCACCTTGAATCACGGCAGACAGGACAGCAAAGAGAACAGAGCAGGCACAGGAAGGGATGAAGGCAAACACAGCCCCCTGTATACTCCTTCCTACAGTGAGGCCCACCCTCAGCACACCCACCTCCTCCTCAAACGGTGCCACCAGACGGACCAAGTGCTCATCATAAGAGGCTGTGGAGGACATGTCATAATTGAACCACAACATCCATTATATAAAATGATATAAATCTTACATATAATCTACATTTTCCTATACAGTGTGAACCTCCTCTAAATTATTTATAATACCAATACAATGTAAACACTAAAAACGTTGCTGTTTACTGTAACATTGTTATTATTATTTTGATATGTGTGTGTGTGTGTTCTTGTGTGCTTGCAAGAGGCCTACAGAGGGCATCAGGACTCCCAGAACTAGTTACAAATGACTGCAAACTGTCAAATATGGGTACCAGCGTACACATGCCACAGCACACATGTGGAAGTCAGAGGTCAACCTGGGAAAGTCATCTCAGCTCTCTCCTTCCACCATCCAGGGATCAAATTCATATCATCCGCATGGCAGTAAGCACCTTTACCTGGTGAAGCATTTTGCCAACCCAAAAACATTCTCACCACCAACAATACAAAAAAAAAAGGTAGGTTGGTGAGCAGCCTGGGCAGATTCCTCTGCAGTCTACAGTAACAGTGGGTTATACCCATAGTGTACAGGTTAAAAAGAGTCTATCAAAATGTGAGCTGTTTTCACCATGCACATTAGTGTGTGGCTTTGCGTTCTGGTGGCTTTATTAGAAGACACATATGAGCTATCTGGTCTCTTGTCATGTGGTACCTGCTCCACCTTAGGATGACCCCAGATACTGGCCCTTGAGCCTGCAGAACTATGAACTAAAGAAACCTCTTTTCCTTATGACTTAACCAGCCTGTAGTGCTGTGACATTACCAACAGAAAACAGACTAAGAGACACCAGTCACAGAGGCTGTCATGGTTCCTGGTCACTGCTCTGATTTGGCCACAGTCCTAACCCACATCCATGTCTTTTCCTGGAATTCTTGGATGGAATAGATATGGGGCTATGAGGAGTCCAGAGCTAGTGACACCACCTAAGAATGACCTGGCTATGGGACCAGAAGTGACACAATCACGACTTGGCCTTTCCACCTGTTAGTTTCCAACACTCCTGTTTCACTATAAGTGCTACTGATCTACCTATAATATGTCTGTAACTAGCAAGCTACTAATACTCTATATATTAAGAGTCTCAGGAACCCTGCCTGTCTCCCAGGCTTCCTTGTTGTAGATACGTAGGACATCCTCTACATTTTGCCTCTCATGAGCTGCCTGCTTGTACACAGTCTATGCCAAACACTTCCCTGGAGATTTATCCATCCTCTTGGCTTGGCTTGTCCTTTACAGCAGAACTGCAAGTAGCATAGCAAAATACTACACACTACACTTTCCAAACTAACCATTCTCCTGCAACTCCACGGCCTCCATGCCATCCCATGCTGCCATCTAAGTCCCAACATTCCCAACCTCCACATACTTTTCACTCTCAACCCCAGTGTATTAGTTGCTTTTCTGTTGCTATGATAAAAATACGTGAACCAAGCAATCAAAGGAAGAGGGGCTTATTTTGGCCTTCAATTCCAGAGGGATAGAGTCTGGAATGGCAGTTCAGAAAGTGGGGCAACAGGAGCATGACCTCACCTGGAAGTCAAGAAGGGGGGACGGTGTCACATTTCATCTGCAAGCAGGTTGTAAAGTGAGAGAACAGGAGGTGTTGCGAGGCTATAAGTCTTCCCAGCCCACCAGCAATGATATACTTCCTACAGAAAGACTCTGCTGCCTAAAGGTTCCATAGCCTCCCCAAACAGCAACACCAACTGGAGACCACGTGTTTAAATAAATGAGCCTACAGTGGATGGGATGTTTCCCATTCAAACCATCACAACCAGCGCCCACTCTGCCACGTGCCCTCTCTAGAGAGTCCTTTCACGTGTGTCTGCTCAACTCCGACATTCCTTCCTGTCAAGACCCAATTCAGCATCATCTCCTCTGAGAAACATTTCCTGACTCTCTCACCAACAAATACATACAGGAAGGACAGAGATGAGCAGGGGGGAAGGGGAGGGGAAAAGGAAGAAGGGAAGAGATCCATCACCATCCCACTAGAGAAGGGAAGACCTCCAAAGGCGATGATTGCCCTGTTCTCTATGCATGAACCTTAAGTAAAAGTCTACAGGTGTTTGGGAAGAAATAATCACAGAAAAAAATCGAAGCACAAAACATGCACTTGGACCAGGTATAATCAACCTGGGTTCTGGGCGTTCTGATTAACTCCTCGAAAAAGATAATTCTTAGTGATTGCTCAATAAGTAAGATGTTTACATCAGGGACATGAGGACCTGAGTTCAACCTCCAGAACCTAAAGGAAAACCGGGCAAGGTGGTGTGGGCTTGTAATCCTAACACAGAGGAGATAGAAATGGGAGGGTCCCTGGCTGGGGTTCACTGGCCAGCAAGTTTATCCTACTTAGTGAAACCCAGGCCAATGAGAGAAACTGTCTCAAAGGAGATAGACATTGTTTCTGAGGCTGCCCTCTGATGTGACACAAACACACATACATGTGTACCTGCGTACACCCACATTTCTTAATATTTAATTTTGTGTGTGTGAGCATGTAAGTATAGATGCCAGAGGAAGCCAGAGGCATCAGATCCCCCTGAAGCTGAAGTTGCTGGCTTTGATGATCCATCAGCTCTGGGTGCTGGGACTCCAACTCCAGTCATCCTTAAGAGCAGTGCACAGTCTTAGCTCCTGAACCATCTCCCTAGGTCCCTACCCAACACATTTTTTAAAGAAAAAATATTTGATTATATCTCATTTTTCTGGAGCACCATTTACCCAGTGTCTGAGGGTTATCATGCCGATGAAACACCAAAATGACCAAAAGCAACTTGGGAAGGAAAGGATTCATTCCACTCTCACTTCCAGATAGCACAGTCCATCCCTGAGGGAAGTCAGAGCCTGAACTCAAACAGGGAAGGAACCTGGAGGCAGGAGCTGGTGCACAGACCATGGAGGGGTGCTGCTTACTAGCTTGCTCCCCATGGCTTGCTCAGTCTGCTTTCTTATAAAACCCAGGATCACCAGCCCAGAGGTGGCCTGACCCATGAGGGGCTGCCCCCCCATCACTCACTAATTAAGAAAACACCCTACAGGCTTACCTTTAGTCCAACCTTATGGAGATATTTTCTGAATTGAGGCCCTTCCCCATGCCTCTAGCTTGGGTCAAGTTAACATAAAACTAGCGGGCACACCTGGGTCATTTTTCTATTCTAGGTGAATGTCTTAGAGTTTCTATTGGTAAGAAAGACACCATGACCACACACCTCTTACAAAGAAAACATTTGAAGGTGGCTCACTTACAGTTTCAGAGGTTCAGTCCATTGTCATCATGGCAGGGAGCACGGCCGAATGCAGGCAGATGTGATACTGGAGCTGAGAGTGCTACATCCCGCAGGCAGGTAACAAGAAGTCTATTGACTATTACACCAAAGGAAGCTTGAAAAAAAAAGAGACCTCAAAACACACCCCTAAAGTGACACACTTCCTCTAGCAAGGCCACACCTCCTAATAGTGCCACTCCCTTTGGGGGCCATTTTCTTTCAAGTCACCACAGTGAAACTGACTGTGCTTGCTTAGTGTTCAGTCAACTTGTGGACTGGAGTGGACTGGGCTGAAGCATCCAAGATGGGGAGCTTGTTAGGTATGGATCTGAGAAAGAACGGGAAGCCTGGGCTTAGCCTGTGGCTTCCTCTCTGTGTGTGGACATAATGCCTGTCTGGAGGGTCCAACAGCACAGTCAGACTTCTTATTCAGTAACTCAAGGTCTAATGATACTAAAGTATGAGCTTCCCGGCCTTTTAGAAAAGCTGTGCCTAGAAGTGGCTTGGTTTCATTTTTCTCACATTCTATTGGGAAATGGTCACAGGCTGTATTTAGAGGGAGATAGACCTCCACTTTTTAATGAGGATACTAAACAATTTAGAACCATCTCTAAATTTTTGAAGCAAAACAGAAGAGTTCAGTGCCAGGAAGATTCACCCCGCCAGGGAACAGACACAGCAACCCCACAGCCCTGACAGCTGTAACTGAGATAATAGCACTTTTGTGTTGTCCAAAGTTACCACTTAGTTTGGGAGTGATTTGTCCCAGCAGCAAGAGATTACAAATCCGATTGCTTTTGTCAAGTGCTTTCTGAGACCAGATCGTCTCCACCTGCTCTGAACCAAACCTGCTTCTTGTATTCCTTTAAAAACATCTTTAAGTTCCTCCCCTTTGTTAAGCAAAATGCTGAGACAGAAAGAGAAGTTAAAAACAGCCAGGGGTTCCCAAATTACAGGAGTCTCTAAGAATACCTCTCTTCCTGGTCCTGTCCTGGAAGGTTTGCCTCAAGGCGGACACTGCCCGATGATGACATGGCTTTGTGACCTCTGACTATTCACAGCCTCTGTCCCATCGCCATCCTGTATCCTAGTCCTCATTCTTCTCCCTGGCTTCTGACCCCTGGTTCATTTCCCGTTCTCAACTTTCAGCCCAAGGCTTAGACATAACTCCCTGACCACTGCTTTCCCGCAAAAGCCACAGTCCTCTTCACTCCCAAACGTCAAACGCAACTCAGGTATTAACTGGGCCATTCCTCCCCACCAACACTAAGAGTCAGAACCGGAAGTCCCTATTGCAAACCCGGAAGTAGTTCGGGGCTCATTCTTCCCTCTACAGGCCCTTCCTCCTCAGCTGATCTCTGAGAATCATCCCAGGCCGGGAGCCATTGTCCCCAGCCAGCGAGGCGCATCTCAGACGCCCCATCTCCTCGGGCTCTTTTCCTGCTCTGTCTGGATTGGGCTCATTTACTAAAAATTAGTTGGGAATGAAAAAAGCCCCTAGTTTATTAGCGTGCTATTATTCCCTCCCGCCATCCCCCTGCAGCATGATGGATTGCCTGGTGAGGGGATGCAGCCCCAGCCGGGGAGCGAGCAAGCTCTGCTCGGTCCCCAGCGCAGACAGATGGGGAGGCCGAGTCCTGAGCATGATTGATTAGCTCCGCAAAGCCTGTTGAGCGGAGTTCCATCAAGATTGATGCTTTCTCCTCATAACAGCATTTCCAAAAAGTTTCTATTACATTTTGATTATGTTTATAGAATCTCGCTGGTCCGGGGGAAGATGCAATCTCGTTCCTTCCCAGTGTGTGTCTGCGCGGGCTGCCACAGTGCCTCGCCACGTCCGGCCTGCTTGGCCTCTCCACAGTGACCTTCGCTCACTGGGCAGCAGAAGGGACCCCCGGTGGCTTCCCAAGAACAAGTTAGAGGGAACTAATGTACACTCTCCTGGTGCCTAATGTCCAGCACTGCAACTCTGGCCTTGAAGGGCCAAAGGTCTAGAGGGCTCTATGGCTTAGGCCTGAATTCCTCAGATTTGAGGTGGTAACAGAAACTGCAGGGGCCTCATTTCCCAAGGACACGGCAAGGCCGTGTCAAATGTAATAAGCATGATGAAATACATGTTTAAATATTTATATGAGTGTGTATGTGTGTCCATTTTATCCCACAAGGGATTTTAGTGATGCTCAGGGCATGGTGAAGACTGAATAAAGGAGAAGAATTAGGAACAGAGAAATGCAAATGAGGCAAGAATGTCAAGACCAAAAGGGGAAATTGAAATATATGCAGCATGTAAGCTGCTACACCGTCTTTATGTTTAGACCTTTAACTTGGTGTGAGTTTCCTAACAGTCAATGTGAAAAAGGAAATAAATCAACTATTTAGTCCTTTTCTTGCTGTCGTTAGTAAGAAAATTTTTTTCTTAAGTTCCTTGGAAGAATTTTAGGATTTCCCCCCCAAATACTAAGGAATTTTTTATATTAGATTGGGGAAAGTTTACGCTGCTTATTTGCTCCTTAGTTTATTGGGAGGGAGTCATGAGCATGCCAAGGTGACAGGGGAGGTCAGAGGACAACTTCTACAGACACAGGTCTCTTCCTTCCACCACGAGGGTTCCAGGGATTGAACTCAGATCTTCGTGTTTGCTGGCAGGTGCCTTTACCCACTGAACTGTCTCTCTAGTCCTCTTCTTAGGTTTGTTATTGTTACTGTTGTTTCCTGGTGCTGGGGAACAAACTCAGGGCCCTGCGCATGTCTTCTGTGTTGTATTGTTCCTTAGCTGTAAATTTCATTGTGATATACCTTGGAAATAAACGGTACACTTTTCAAAAACAAAATTCAAAGCTCTAATTGAGAACTTCTGAGTTAAACAGGGTCCTCAAATCAACCTTTAGGTAATATAGTAAAGGGAGCTTCCCTTACGGAACCTAAAGATAGTTCTATTGAGGGCCTGACTTCACAATATATAGGCCAACACCTGGTATCTACCTCTTCCCACTTTATTTCCAGATGGGAGCTCTCACTCAACTTGGAGTTCATTTCAGCTGGGCTGGCTAGCCAGCAAACCCCTAGGCTCCTCCTGCCTCCACCATCACTGCCGCTCCGGTGCTGGGGTCACACACGCCCCTGTGTTCAGCTCTAACATGAGTTCTGGGGATCTGAACTCAGGTTCTCATGTTTGTGCCGCTACCACTTTACCCACTGAGCCATTTTCCCAGCCCCAAGGTTAACTTTTTAACAAATATTCTTTGAGTGGTTTCATGTATTTAAAATGCATGTGCTAGTTTTCCAGAATGAAACCAACATCTTTTCTGGCAACATCAAGAATATACAGTGAAGGCTGGAGATGTGGCTTAACAGTGAACAACACTGCTCTGTAGCTGGGTTTTTTGGGTGTCTTGTTTGTTTTTATTCTTTTGCTCCTTGGTGAACCCACCACTCAGCTTCCAAATAAATATACACACACAGACTTATTCTTTCTTATGAATGTCTGACCTTAGCTTGGCTTGTTTCTAGCCAGCTTCCTTAACTTAAACTGTCCCGTCTATCTTTTGCTTCTGGGCTTTTACCTTTCTCTATTTCTGTATACCTTTCTTTCTTATGCCAGCGCTGGTAGTACAGCTGGGTGGCTAGCCCCTGATGTCCTCCTCTCCTTCTCCTTGTTTTGCTCCTTGATCATCTCTTCCCAGATTTCTCCTCCCATTTATTTTCTTTGCCTGCCAACCCCGCCTATCCCTTTTCCTGCCTAGATATTGACTTTTCAGCTCTTTATTAGACCAATCGGGCATTTTAGACAGTCAAGGTAACACAGCATGGAAGAGTTAAACAAATGCAACATAAAAGAATGCAGCACATCTTTGCATCATTAAACAACTGTTCCACAACATAAACAAATGTAACACATCTTTAACTAATATTGTAAAACACTGACCACTCTTCCAAAAGACCTGTGTTCAATTCCCAGCACTCACATGCTGACTTACAACCAGTAAACTGTAACTCTAGTTCCAGGGGATCTGATTCCCTCTTCTGACTTCCTCAAGCATCTAATACACATGTGATCCACATACATGCAAGAAAAATACTCATACACGTAAAAGGAAGTAAATCTTCTTTTAAAATGTTTAAGACAGGCATGACTAACAGGCATATGAAAAGGTGTTCAGCATCACTAATCATCAGGAATATTCAAACAAAAATCACAAAGATGCATCACTTAACATCTGTTAGAACGGCTGTTACCAAAACAAAAAGGGTAACAAATGTTGGCAAGTAAAGTAAGTGGTAGTGAAGAAACTGGGACCCTTGTTTCTGAGGTAGGAATGATACTCTGATGTTAGCAGCCATGTTCTCTGAGTCATGTTGTCACTCAGGGTTTGAAAGAGAACAAGCCCCCCCCCCAACATAGGCTCAGATGTTTGAATATGTGGTTCCAGTTGGCGGTGCATTTAGAGAGGCTCAGGAGGTGTAGCCTTGTTAGAGGAAGAATGTCCCTGAAGGCAGGATTTGGGAGTTTAAAAACTCCCACTGTTCTTAGGTCTATATCTCTGCCTCCTTTGGTTGAAGATGTGAGCCCTCAGCATCCTGCCCTTGATGCTTTGCTTTTATTTGCAACCATGGACTCTAACCTTCTGGAACCAAAAATCCAAATAAACTTTTTTTCTACAAGTTGCCTTTGTGATGGTGTTTTATCACAGCAAGAGAAAAAAACAGCTAATGCACATACATTTGCAAAATATTTGAATGTTTTCTTATTCATACTTGTATGTATGAATATGTATGTAATCCGTATTTCACATGGTAAATTACTGTTTCATAATTTTAAACTATTCAATATTATATAAAAAAAGAAATAAATTTCCACTGGCCCTATGCTAAGATGAATGTCAAGTTTCCTCAGCCCTCATTACATGTTCTGTTTCTAGGACCATCATTCAAGGTGACCCCACCTCTCCTGATCACATGATCCCACTTTAACCAATCAGGATCATTTAAAGGATATTGTGTTTCAAGTGGGTGATGGAAGAATAAGAAGGACAGCGTCCCCTTGGCCCCATTGGTTATTAGAAATGAACTAATTGCACTGAACTATCTTGTTGACCACATAAGCACCCATACAATACTGATTTGGCTTCTTTTATGGAGACCTTGCTCAAGGCCTGCAGCTGAAGCTCACTGTAGAACACTCATCTAACATTCTCAATACCCTGTGTTCAATCACAGTTTAAACAAAACAGAGTATGCTCAGTTTAGCTAGCAACCAAAACATTCTTCTGAACAGACTAGTAACTATGACACCCACAAAAAAAAGAGCTCTCAAATTCAAGAATAAGACTCAAAAATTATCAGAAAAGTATAGCAAATCAAACTTAGCAATAGGTGAACAAGAGGTACCTAACACAGAAGTCAACCAATGTAATGTACCATATTAATAGAAAGAACAAAAAAAGGGGAAAAATCACACTATCTAATCTGAAGCTAAAATAGCCAATAAGATATAATTCCATTTCATAACTTTCTGTTTTGGTTTTTTTTTTTTTTTTGGTTTTTCGAGACAGGGGTTTCTCTGTATTGTTTTGGAGGCTGTCCTGGAACTCGCTTTGTAGACCAGGATGGCCTCGAACTCACAGAGATCCGCCTGCCTCTGCCTCCCAAGTGCTGGGATTAAAGGCGTGCGCCCCCAACGCCCGGCTTCATAACTTTCTTAAATTAACAAGTCAGATGTACAAGGGAACTATCTCAACATGATAAAGGTTACCCATTTTTTAAAATGGCCATCATCTTACCTAAAGGAAAGAGACTCATAACTTTTCTCCTAATATCAGACCTATACATTTACAATGAACAGCCAAAACATGAAATTAGGAAAGTAGTTACGTTTATAATAGTATGAAAAAAGAATAAAATACTTAGGACTAAGTGTATGTAGAAGACAATGAAAACAGCAAAACATTGTAAGACATTAAATATGATCTAAGCAAGAGAAAAGATATCCATAAAGCAATATTTTTGAGATGACTTTACTCTTTATATGAATTTGCAAAACTATTGCAATCCCCACCAAGGTTTCCATTGCCTC